AAAGGCTGATTTAGACTTCTGAAGACACTTTTTTTATTGATACAAGAGAGCAGGCCTGTTTTGCTTGGTGCATAACTGGATTTTTATGCAATATTGACAAATACAATAAAAAAAGTCACCAGTCACAGTCTCCTTCAGTATCTTGTACACTTCTTTTGACTGGCAAAGCAGGAGAATGGAATATCGAAGTGCTGTATGGCCACATTAAGTGCAAATTTCAGAGTATTCTTCACCAATGAAGAATACCAAGAAAAAACACTTCCCAAGAAAATTAAGTCTGTGCAGTTCAGCTAACCATGTGTCTGTCTTTCAGTTCCCCATGGACTTAAAATCACAGTAATTTGATGTTTCACAACAATGTAAAAACTGGCTAGGAAAGAGATACAGATCAAAGGGCTCCTTTGATGGAAAGGCTGCAATGATGGACACTTCAAACCAGTGACTTCACAAGACATACAGCCATGTGGTCATGACCCAAAAATTTCCCTCATCATAGAGCTACTTGTTTACATAATAAAATATGAATGAATGAGTAGGTGATGATGAACCATTAACATGGGGGGAAAAAAAATTGCTTGGCAGCCTCTGTTCTTCTCTCAGACAAGATACTTTTGTGGACAAAATTATAAAAGGCACACATTTACTTCATCAATACATTTTTTCCTCTTTTCATGACCCCCTTTGTTTGCTCTACTCTCTGTTTTAGGCTACAACACTGCAGATGTTGTTGCACATGTGGCTTCTGCACTGTGCAGTGTTACTGTCTTCAGCAGGCTGCTCACCTTACCATGGAGGCCACCTTGCACATACCTGGTGAGAAGAAAGCTCCTTAACTGGTTCAACCCAGGCAGGAGAGCAATTCAGTTTTTAACAGGAGCTTTTCTATTTGCGTTGGGATGTGTAGGCCATAAAAGCATCAACTATGACAAACATTTCAGACACAAACAAAAAGATTCCCAGTGAGTTGTGTTCAGTATCATAGTGTAATTTCCACAGAGGAAATGTCAGTCCTTTTACAAATGCAGGCTCATGAGCTTCAGACAGCATTTTCATACTAGCAGAACGCAGACCAGTGACTTCTTATGAGCAAGAAAACAAAGGCACAAACAGAAGAAAGGTAAAGAAACAAAGTCTCAGCTAGGGAAGATGTGGGCACTTTGTTCAGGAAAAACCTTGTACAGTAAAAGCAGTTAAGCCCTGGGACATAACCCCAGGGAGAAGATCATGAGTTTTTAAAGACAGGAAACAAACATATGTCAGGAATAAGAAGGGGTTTAGGGAGAAGGGATGACCTCTGAGCCTCTTCCAATCCTACCTCCTTCAGTCCTGTGAGGCACAGTTACAACACAAAAATGTAATAAACAAAAACAAAAGGAAAGGAGCAATGGAGGTCACTTTAGATGGCAGTCAGCAAACCAACTCCCAAAGTCTGAAGAGTTGCCAAAGTTTCCTCAGGAAGTGACAAAGACAAGAAACTTTGCCTTAGTCGTAAACCTCACAATCTTTCCTGCGGTTGCCACACACAATTATATCAGGATTTGGCAGGGAACTGTAAATCGTTCCTCCAGCCCACATGAAGAAAATGTTGGGAGCTAAAGCACAGGGCACTCAGCAGCCACAGACAGATTAGGAAACCTGGCTGCTGCACAGCCAGTCACATTTCAGCACTAAAGCACAGCTCACACAGGTCCCCCATGCTCCTCTCTCCTCCAGCCCCTCAACAAGGTAGAAACAACGTAGAAACACCATGCAAATCAAATGGGAGCTACACTTCATTTCACCACATAAACCTGCAGCTAAAAACCTGCTCAGACCCATAAGCACGTGGTATCTAACACAGGGACAACTGCATGGAACAAACAACAAACGGGACTGAAAGACCAGGAAGAGCCAGGGGTAACATGACAGGAGTTGGAGCACAGCTCAGGCATTTCCACTCAGGAAGATTAACACCTTCCACATGCAGATACTTCACTGCCCAGCAGCAATAATTTACTGGAGGAAGTAGTTTAGGAGCAGGCTTGAGGACACTTGCATGGCAACATACTAAAGAGAGCTCTTCAACTACACCTCTGTAGCTCCTACATGTGAGGCTGCAAGGCACTGGACAATTAGGAAGGCATCCTGCTCCTGCTAGCCCACTGGCAAGCTGGAACCATCCCTTCTCAAAGAGCTCTGCAATCAACAAAGACTTCCTTCCAAACTGACTCACTCCCACCCTCCTGCTGCCCCAGATTTCCCCTCTGCCCTTCTCTCCCTGGTGTCTCCTTCAACAGCTACAAATCCCATAACCATCATCTAGCTGTCTGCTACTCCTGGCTGCTCCAAATCACTCCCATGATGCCCACAGAGAGTTTTAAAAAACGCCAGCATACTCTGGAGGAGGAAGAAATTAAATTTAGATAACCAAATCCTGTTTAATTAGGTTAATGCCAAAGGTTAGAGGCTGGTCTCCCTCCTGGCAATGTGGGGTCACATCCAGGAGCCAATAATCTACTCCTCATCTCTAGTGCAATGGCTCCAGGACACTCACTGACCCTGGAGTTCTGCACTGGCCTGTAGGGCCATAATGTGGACCACAGCTCTGGTTTCTCTATTCCTCTCTTCATCATCTTCCCAACAAAACCCTCTATAGCCAAATGGGGCTTCAGAGCTTGTGGAGAAGCTGGCTTTGCAAACATTGCACCAGCTGCAATTTTTCCCCATTGGGAAACTTTGAATAGGCAGAAACAGCCCAAGCCCAGGCCCTCTTCACAGCTTGAGGCCAGAAACTGCCAGCGACCCTCCTGTCTAATCCAGAGGTGCAGCCTAGGGCTGTGTTCAGAACCTGGGAGGGATATGGGTTTACAAACCAATTTAATCCATATTTCTAACAAAGATATGAACTTGTCTTGGGACTAGGACATGCCTGACTTGACTTGATTATCAAGGGATCTATGACGTACAATGCAGATTAAACAGGTCCAGGACCTACTGAAGAAAAAACACAAAACTGTCAAGATTTCTTTTGGTAGATCTGAGAATGTATTTTTGAGTTGCAATCTAGCTTTCAAGCAGATCAGAAGATTAATGCCTGCATTTGTTCACGCAGACAGGTATGGAGTTTCCCTGCTCTAGAAATGTCTGAACTTCTTGAGGGGATTCATTATCTGAAGAATTCCTCTCTTTTGGGAAAATAGAGCATCAATCCCCATGGTAAATAAGATGTCTGTGATCAGAAGTATAAGATTTTCTAGGACTATGCCCTCTTAAAACTCAGGAAGGAATATCTCACTAATTACTCAATGACTATAACTACAGACACATCTCCCTAAGTGCTACCACTGCCACCCCATCATTTTAATGAATCTACAGAGTAATTGCATAGTCCTAATAACATAGAGCTACACTATAGGTTTCTTTTCCTGTCTTAAAAAAAAAAGCAAACAATTGCCTTACAAAACCTCCAGTAAGTTTTAATGTTACAAAACACCGATAAATTATGGACATAAGAAATCTCATTCCACAAGACACTTCCTCTCTATAAAACTACAACATTTTCTGCTGGAGAAGAAAACAAGCAAAGACACATCCACATATTCTACCACGGACTCCTCATGTTTGTACAAACCACATTTATTTTTGTCACTATGCCATTTTAAAAGTTGAAGGCAGGAATTCTATCCAAGAAAGGAGGAACGGTCACTTGCCAAATACTTTGGGTTGAACTCTCCAGTGCCCTGGCACTGCATCCTGGCAAGAACCACTCCAGGGCAAGGTACCCACTCCTGCTGGGCTAAGCGTCAACACAAATCAGAGAGAACTGGAGCGTCTATTCATGTTTGGTTTTCAAATGTTCAACTCACTTGAATGGCATGAAAGCAAATTCACTCGAAAACACCTTAATTCATGCAGCTTCTCTGAGTGCTTACGGAGATGTGGGCCAAAAAGCAGCCGAACTTGCACGGGGTAATTTGAGATGCTTGACTTTTAAAAAGAACGTGTGTACTGAAGTAGTGATGCTCTGCTGGTTACTGTCAGGAGAGGTGGTTCTGCTCTGCGGCGGTGCTCGTCTCAACTTTGTGGGCACACTTTGCCGGGAAGCTCCCTCAGTGCCGGGCAGAGAGGGGCAGGCGCAGCCAAAGTGCAGAGCTAAGCACATTGTTGCTCCAGATGTGAAACGCACGCGCGAGTTCGCCAAAAAACCGAAAGAAGAGGAAAATAAAAAAAAAAAAAAAGAAAAAAAAAAAAAAAAAAA